ACCAGCATGGTCTGCGGAAAACCCGTTCACTACGATTTCAAGGGAGGGGCAGACTGACCCAAAAGCGACACAGCAGCTTGCAGTTCGGAAGAAAATAAAAAGGAAGCGCAAGGTGGTGCTTCAGAAATTGCCTTCCCATCAGGAAGTGTGTGGAAGAACGCATGCGTAGCAGTGACTGGTTTAGAGAAAGTGTGGCCCGGTGTGATAGGTTGCTAGTATTATAAATGGCGCTCGCGAGAAAGTTGACGGCCGTTGAAGGAGTGTGCATGTGTCGAGCTGGAGATTTGGTCCCTGAACAGATGGGCCTGGTATAGTTGCTGTTTATGTGTCAAAACTCATAAAACATCACCGGCATGGTCTTTTTGCACCGATTATTCGGGCTCGCTGGGTATTTTTGGATTAAAAGTGTTGATTTCGCCGGCTCGGGTAAAATCTGTTTAATTTAGAATAAGCGGTTAACGGCAATGGAAAGCAATGAATTGATGCCTCCTGCCAAAGAAGGCGGTGAAAATGTGGTGAAAGAAAAAGAGGGAAGCGGCATTGTGAAGGCAATAAGGACGAAGCGGCGACAAAAGCGCATCAAGAGCAGCTGTAAGAGTCATCGTCTCGAAAAAAGTTTAACATTTTCGTTCCAAAAGTAAAACGTCGCTATTTTTTTTAGCTGAATCGGCAGATAAAACAGCTTCAGTAGCGCCAACAGCGATTGAACCTGCAGACAATATCTTCACTTCTATTCTAATTGAAAAGCAATCTGGTCCGAAACTGGCAGATTCTTCTGCAGAGCAGCTTGCTGTTCGAAAGAAAGCAAAAAAGAGGCGTAAGATGGAAGCTGTCTCCGATCAGGAAGTATCCTTTGTTACTGCATATGAAAAAATATATGGAATTTGAGCTAGCAGCGCTCTCTGTAAGAGACTATGTGCACCCATCAAGAGTGCATCACGAGCATGCCTCTTTTGCACAGTTATGCTGTGGGGTGCCTATTTCAAACACTTAAACTGGGTTTGTCCCTCATTTAGTCAAGGTTTGTAGATCGATATCTGACAAAGTTATCGGTCTGTTACTGAGGTCCAGAGCCAAAGACTGTTGCCAAAGTTTTAGCTTCTTGCCTTAGCTGATGACGAAATTGATCAGATTGACACGTACAGGCAAGAGACTCTTGTTCATTTAGGTTCTTAAATTTGCATTGATGTGAAAAACGCATGAAATCAACTCACTGCTGTTCGATAGTGCGCATCTTTGACTTCTTTCTTGAATTCAACGGTCTGGATAGCAATTACGCAAGCTATGGGAATCCTCCTTTTGCTTATATCGTTTAACATTGCGCAAAATTGCACATTTTTTTAAAAATTTGCCGCGTTTCTGCATCGTAGAGAACTAGTGAAATCCAGTGCGTGGGTCTTTATTCCAGAAAAGTGTGCTTAAACAGGTCCATTTCGTGTGATATTGGGCCGTTCTCTGTTTTTCTGGAAAGTCTCCATTTCTGTCCGCTTTCAGAGCATCTAGATTTCCTAGTAGGAAGGAGTTGTCTGCCAGGTGAACGTAATTGCCGCTTAAAAAAACTATCCTCTTTCTTTCATTTAGCAAAGCGCCGAGCGTTTGATTAAAAAGAAGACGGCTGAGGAAGGCATGGCAGTTGCTGCCCATAGTAACTCGGAATATGAAACAAGCTTAGCTGCCGCTGAATGTGCCCAGCAAGAAGGCCGTGACATTGGCGCTCCCTGGCAACGTTTAGATGAGATGGACGGTTGGATTTTTTGCATCTGATTGTTTTCTAATGATGCACATTTTGTATATTATTATATAATTTCTTAATTGATTTGGCAGTAGCGGCCTAGGAGTGCCGGTTTTAGCACTCAGCACGGATATCCCCAAGTGTCAGGTATTTTTATCAGGATGCATCGTTAGCGAGCGAGCTATCGAACAGATGCAGAACTCGCTAACTTTTTACTTAGAGAATAGAACTGTGCACTGCA